AGGCTGGCGTTTCAAATCCACCAGCCACTTCTTGGAAGGAAGGTTGGGCAATCTACCTCTGTAGTAATACTGCCTCGGAAACCCAAGGAGGGGTCACTATGAGTTGAACCTGACTCGATGGCAGTGAGTGAGAATAAGTTTCTTAGGGGACAGAAAGTAGAATTGAATGCTTCCTCCTCCACAGTAATGAAGGGAGGAAGTCTTCAAACCTAAGCCCTTATACACTGTACTAGGCTAATGTTTCTCAAAGTGTGGTCCCTACACCAATAGCATCAAAAATCACTTGGTAACTTGTTAATGCAAATTATTGGGCCCCACTCCAGGCCCACTACATCAGAAACTTTGGGAGTAGGCACAGCAATCTGTTTTTAAAAGCCTCCAGGTAATTCTGATGCATGCTCAAGTTTAAAAAGCATCCTTTTTAAAAAGTGTTTATAGAGAGACAGACATAATTTTATGTGTTGGCTATCTTTAGCAGAAAAAAAAAATCAGTGTTATTATTAAGTTTGTTGACATGTTTCTCTCATCCATGTATTAAATATGTCTTGAGTGTCTACTCTGTGCAGGGTAGTGTGTAACAACAATGGAGCACAAGAATAAGGCATACAGAATGGTGCAATGAAAAACACATGAATCATCTTACAACGTGGATGAACTTGGAGGACATAATGCTGAGTGAACAGAACAAGGGGACACTGCATGGTTTAAAATCAAGAAGGGAGTGCATCTGCGTCGTATCCTTTCACCATACTTATTCAATCTGTATGCTGAGCAAATAATCCAAGAAGCTGGACTATATGAAGAAGAACATGGCATCAAAATTGGACGGAGAATCATTAACAACCTGCGATATGCTGATGACACAACTTTGCTGAAAGTGAGGATGACTTGAAGCGCTTACTGATGAGGATCAAAGAATACACCCTGCAGTATGGATTACACCTCAATATAAAGAAAACAAAAATCCTCACAACTGGACCTATAAGCAGCATCATGATAAATGGAGAAAAGATTGATGATGTCAAAGACTTCACATTGCTTGGTTTTATAACCGACGCCAATGGAAGCAGCAGTCAGGACATCAGACGACATACAGCACTGGACAAGTTGGCTGCAAAAGATCTCTTTCAAGTGCTGAGGAGCAAAGATGTCTCCTTGAGGACTAGGGTACACCTGACACAAGGCATGACATTTTCAATCGCCTCATATGCATGTGAGAGCTGGACAATGAATAAGAAGACCAAAGAAGAATTGAGGCTTTTGAGTTGTGGTGCTGGTGAAGAATGTATCATGGACTGCTAAAAGAACTAACAAATAACTCTGGAGGAAGTGCAGCCACTGCAAAGCTGTACTTCAGAAGCGAGACTGGCCAGACTTCATCTCACTTGCTTTGGTCATGTTATCAGAAGGGGCAATTCCCTACAGGATGTCATGCTTGGTAAGGTGGAGGGTCAATGAAAGCAGTGAAGGCCCTCAATGAGATGGATTAACACAGTAGCTGCGGCAATGGGCTCAAGTATAGAAGGGATCGCGGAGCTGGAGTGGGACTGGTTTGTGTTTCATTCTGCTGTGCATACATACAGTTGCTATGAATCAAAGACGACTCGATGGCACCTAACAACAACAACATACTGAGTGAAATAAGTCAGTCGCAGAAGAACAAATACTGTTATGAGCCCATTATTGTAAAAAGTCAAGGGAAGATTTATCAGGGAAGGAAATTCACTTTGTTGGTTACCGGAAAAAAAGGGGAGGGAAAGTGTTGGACTAATTGGGGGTCATATGTTGATCTGAGTGAGGGGAGGGATGGTGTGAAAAGACTGTGACCAGCATGATGACACTGGCAAAAGAAAGGAAGGACACTGAAACGTGCACTTAAGATAAGGACAACAGAGGCAAATACTAGTATATACGCAATACTGCATATACTAGTATATTATTACTAACACCAAAGGAGTTCTAGTGGCATAGTGCCTAAGGCATTTCTCTGCTAACCAGAAGGCTGGGGGTTCAAACCCACCAGCCACTCCTTAGAAGGAAGATTGGGCAATCTACTCCTGTAGTGATACTGCCTTGGAAACCCAAGGAGGGGTCGCTATGAGTCAGGCAGTGAGGTTGTTTTGGTATTAACACCAAACACCAGGCTACAGATAAATGCATAAAAAGGTGAGAAGATCAGATGGAGTTAGGCCAACAGGAATATACCCTACACCAAGAATAGATTTGGCTGAGAAGGTTGGCTTAAGATAATCTTACCTGCACTTGTGCTACGAAATTGGCCACATACATTACAGAAGCAACACAAGATAAGAGTTGGAGTAATTTCTTAAAGAAAACCAAACACCTTGAGAGACACAATCACCGGACCTGTGGACTCAGACCATAGTCTTGGGCGACATCATGCTCAATTGGCACAACATCCCCTCAACCCTCACTGCCGTCAAGTGGATTAAAGTTCTTTTTAATAATGCATTATATATCCAAACCAAAGCTATCTCCAATTAGCAAAATGTTTCCTAAGAGGCACTGAAGAGTAAAACAATCTAGGTCTAAATCATTCCCTAGTACTTACAAAGGATTCCAAAGGGGGAAAAAAAAAAAAAAAACCTCACTGCCTTCTAGTCAGATCCAACTCAAAGGGACCGTCCCTGGGTTTCTGAGGAGGTATCACTAAGGAAGTAGATTGCCCAATCGTCCTACCAAGGAGTAGCTATTGGGTTTGAATCGCCATCCTACTGGCTAGCAGTCAAATGCCTTAGGCACTAATACCAGTGGGCAGGAGAAGGAGTTGTCTGCTGAACCTACAAATGCGCAAGGCATGCTTTCATACTCAGAACTATTATTCAATATATAACAATAGCAACAACAAAATTTCCGTTAAGTCGACCCGGACTCATAGTGACTCTATAGGACAGCAAAGAACTGTCCATGGGGTTTCCAGGGCTCTAATCTCTATTGAGGCAGACTGGCACAACTTTCTCCTGCAGATCTTGTTGGTGGGTTGGAACCGCCTACCTTTCAGAGCTTAACCACTGCGCCAGTGGGGGGCCGATTCAACATACCAGTGAGTAAAAACACCGTTTTTCGTTCCAAGGAAGAGCCTACCGGGTTTTTTAGTAAAACCACCCCCCTACACCAAGCGCTCCGGTCCAGCTGCTGGAGTCCAAGGACTCGGGACAAGAACCTCACCAGAGCGTGGGCTTGCAACTGCAAGGGGCAAAAACATGTAAAAGCCAAAATTCCACTGGGTGAAGAGTCTGCAGTAAGGGCGAACGAGGGCTTCAATTAGCTTTGAAAAATGAAAGCCCCTAAACTGGATACCGGGCCACAGGAGAAGCGCACCAGCGTCCGGCGACTGCGTGCTAGCCTACCCTGGTCGCCAATAAGCCTAGGAGCCTCCCTCGCCAGCACTCTCTGGGCGAGCGCTCCAGTCCGGGTTCCCTTTTCCACTGTGCGGTCAGGCAGAGCCTTATACGGAAAGGGAAGGTGGGGAGCAGATTCTACCCCAGCCGCACCCAGCATCCGCCCCCTTGGCGCGGAACTCCAGCCGCTGTTTACCCGACTTCGGGTTCCAGGCCTGCAGAGAAGCCCCTGACTAAGCTTAAATTCCCATTGTGGGGCGCAGACATACTGCCTGCTGCCTTTTCCCCTTCCCCTCCTTAAACCATCTCCCTCCTCGCCCCAAGTCGATTGCTACAGTCCCTTCGCAAGTGCGAGCACAGTGAGGGCAGAAGGTTGCCAACGAGGCAGAGACGCGTGGCCAAGGAGAATGTGAGCAAGCCAGACTCAAGGGTGCAGCCAGGCGTCCTTCCGCCCTTCTCAGCCTCTCCGCTTGCTTCTTCGCTCGGTCTTCCCCACCAGGAAAGCGTTGCAAAGCCAAACAAAGGGAGGTCATCTGAAAAAGCCGCGGGTCTCCTTGACCCCCAGGCACTGCGCCACGGATGCTAGTTTCTCGAGCAAGTGGTTGCAAGTAGAAAAGCAAACGCGGGAGACACTCGGGGTTTCCTCCGTGTTCTTCCCGCGCGTGGCCTTCCACTTCGCGGGCACTTTACCTTGGACCAGACGCCCCGGGAGCCACGGGCAGAGGCGCAGAGCCTTAGCCCGGTAGAGAGGAGTTTGAGCGCCGCCATCTTCGGGACCCCGCTGCGAAAGAAGACCGTTGAGCTGGAGCACAGGTGTGATTGTGTCGGTGTGCGTGGCCCGGGCCGCCGCTGCGTCACTAGGAAGAGAGGGAAAGGAAGGCGCGCGGGAGGCGGGCTGGAGGTTCCACCGTGCGTCGGTGACGTCCTCCGGGCCTCCTGCGATGCGCGCCGGCGTTTGGGCTGCGTGCTCTTAGATGAACCCTTGACCCGGAGCAGAGACTCTGCGAAGCTCAGTGTGTTACAGGCAGCTTTCTTGGCGCGCACTTGCTACCGCGGCCCCTTGATCAGCCCTTAAAGTATGAGGTGACGCGCGTATCCGTCATCCCCAGGGTCAGGGGTAAGCCTTGGTCTAGCATTTGGAACCCAGTGGGCGCAGGAAAGTCTCTCACGGAGCCTGTTGCTTGTCCAAGTCAGGACCAGGCAGGTGTAGGTGGCAGCGACACTGCTTAAGGCCTCGTACTTCTGCTACCCACCCTAGACAACGTTCCTTTTTCCCCATTTCTCTGCCCTTCCTCCTCCCACCTGGCCCCATTTTATGTAGAGTAATTTTCCTCTCTAAGGCCCAGCCGCCAGCTATCTGCCAGGAGGTGGGACCAGCTGGGTTGACAGAAGGGCAAGATAAGGACTGGGCCTCTAGGTCCTGATCCTAGAAAGCACACCTTCTCACTCTTCTTTCCTGTCATCCAAGTCTGCATTTTCCAAAATCTTCCTGGCTTTGGAGGCCCAGAAACCCCAGAGATTATTCAGCAAATGCAAACATGCAGATGTGTATCTCTTTAACTGACTTTATGCAACTTGGGTAACTTTCCTAAAACTTATAGTGCTTATCTGCAAATTAGGGTTCATGATAATACTCCAAACTGTCATAAAGTTTAAATGAGCTAAATCATACAGTTTCTGGATCTACTGTGAGCATTTAATAAACACGAGGTATTGTTGTTAGTTCATTGCAATTGCCTTGCTGGATTGTCATAGTGCAGACACTTGTGCAGCCCATCTTCTGAAAGACTCCTTGAAGACAGGAGCCAAGTCTGATTTCTTCAGAATCGTCTAGCAGAGTGGAAGAACCAACCCAAAGTTCAATCAACATTTTATTTAATAAAAGATTGGCTAACTGCTGGGAATGTGGCTGTTAATTTTGAACCAAAGCAAAGCATACAATACACTGACGCAATAGACATTCACAGTCCAATTTAAAGTCTGTCCGTAAAAGTGTTTGCCCTTTCATAGTATTTTCTTTTTTTTTAGTTTTTACAACTTTTATTGTGAGCAATAAAATTTATATATATGTGTGTATATACATACATACACACACATACACTCGTGTAGATTCTTGACTATTCTTTGGTCAGAATTGGGGGTATTTTTCTAACTTAAAGTATTGTATCATAGCATTCTTTTAACTCAACTTTTTTTTCTGTGAATGTTATAATTTTAATCAAAGTCAATGAGTGAGCAGTATATTAAGTTAGACTATCCAGTTATACAGGGAGCTCTGGTGGCATAGTGCCTAAGGCATCTGACTGCTAACCAGAAGGCTGGCAGTTAAAACCCACCAGCCACTCCTTGGAAGGAAGATTGGGCAATCTACTTCCATGGAGATACCACCTCAGAAACCCAAGGAGGGTTTCCTCGCTATGAGTGGGTCTGACTCCATGACAGTGAGTTTTGTTTTGTTTTTTTTATCCAGTTACACAGTGGCTGCAACAATGAGCTCAGGTGTAGCAAGGATTGTGAGGCTGATGCAGGACTGGGCAGTGTTTCATTCTGTTGCACATAGGGCTGCGATTAATCGGAGCCAACTCGACAGCACCTAACAACAACATCCAATTACATAAGGAGAAATTAACTTAGTTATGTTCTGGATTTGAAATACATTTTAAGAAGTTGGATTGTTGGGAAATTCAGGTGTTAAACTCCAGTCACAGGACTAATCCTGGCACAGCAGGTAGCAGTTGTTAGACTGCAGTTTACAGAATGTGAAAAGGTGACATTCACAGTAGGTTGTGCTTTTCCACCCACCTTTTGTCCTTCCAGAGGGTACATGAAATGGAAAAACATTACGGGCAACTTTGCCTTCCTGTTGTCACGTGACTCACTCTTTCTGGCTGATCTCATTGCTGCTCCAGGCTTAGGAAAGGACACTGTATGACTATATTATAGTCTTGTGATTCTAATTCTCATGGGGGGGAAAAAAGCCTCATTATGATCAAAACACACTGTACTTTATTTTTGATGGGTCTATGACTTCATTTTCTACTTTTTAAATCAAGTATAAGTATTTTCAACTTGAACAAACTATGGAAAAGTTTCTTTCTATAGATTTCCTTTCTAGTTCTATAAAGCCATTTCAATTTTAATCTGTGTGCAAAACCTTTTTTTAAAATATCTGAACTTATCTGAAGTAAGAAAAAAAAAGCTTCCCCTTGCTCAGAAGGGCATTTTGTGGCCAATATATCATATTCTGGAAGTTTTTCTTTGTGGCATCATGTAGAGTTTAACTTCCACACTCTAAAAAACTGGGATAATGTAATTCAAAGCCTTTAAACAAACTGTCTGATGCAGACAGGCAAAGAGGAAAATTCATTTTGTATCATGTTATATAGCATTGACTATGTGAATAACACCTTTCTAGCAAATGAATGCACACAGTGTCAGATTTAGGTAAGCTTGCAAATCATCCTTCTTTGCTTGAGGTATTTAATTTTAGTTTTCCTGATATGGTGCATCAGCATGTCTGTGCTGAAAGAGATGGTATCGTGCACTCACAATTAGTGTATCCTCCAGGCTGAGGAGTATTTGAAGATCTGTTTTTCAATTGTCTGTTGACTGCCTAACTAGCAATCTCAGTTCACTGCCATCGAGTCGGATCCAACTCATAGCAACTCTGCCTTTGGTTTCCGAGGTGCTATCACTACGGAAGTAGATTGCCTCATCTTCCTTCCAAAGAGTGGCTGGTGGGCTTGAACCACCAGCCTTCTGGTTAGCAGTCAAATGCCTTAGGCACTACACTATCAGACCTCTAGATTATTTGAATCAATTACAAAATATGTGCACGCTTCATTTTATACCTGGAAAACAAATTTCTTCCAATAAATAATTCTGGTGAGTTTGAAAAATATAAATCTGAACTTTTACAATAAATCTAGAAATTTAATAATCATTAGATAATAAAAACCATTATATTTTGTATGCTTCTACTTTTATATATCCTTCAAAGCAGTGCCTTGCATTAACTAATATGTACTTAACCAATATTTGTTCAATAAATGAATAAAGTGAAGTTTCCTTAAAATATAGTTTTCAAGAAAAAAATATCATTGCATGGGATGATACAGGATGGCTCATCTCCTGGAATGAATGTGAAAATCATATTAAGGTGCTAAGAAAACTTAAAGATGGAGAAAAACATACCAGAATACTAGTGCATAAATGCAAATAGGATACTATTCTGATTAAAACATTTAAATGGTTTTCCCCCACTGCCTTTAGAATCCAAAGCCCATGCTTCTTAACATGGGATCATCTCACCTGTCTTCTCCCTCCCCATCACCTTCGTATTCCAAACCACACATGCCCCTTGGCTTTCACATGATGAACTTGCAGACTCAGAATCAAGTGTTGATAACAAAATGGCAGAGGGAGTGACTGTGTAGCTAGGTTGCCTGGGATCACATCTCAGCTCTGCTGTTCAATTGTTCCGTGGCCTCCTGTGATACAGTAGTTAAGGAGTTGTGCAGAATAGCAAGATGTGAGTAATGTCTGGACCAGCATCTCATTGTTCCATTTGGGTGTTGAGAGAGTATACATTGGGAACTTGTATATAGCTCATATGCTTTCTGTAGTTTCATAAACTGGAATATATCAGACAGATTCAAACCCAGAGTTGTAGGGTATTGAAGACTACTTTACGTTTCAACCTCCCTCTTTATGAGATACCTTTGAATCTGACCCCAACCTCCCAGTTTCACTCAGCCTGCTCTATAGTTTCTCTTATATGGATTATAGCCATTGCTCAGTAAATTAGCTTCTTATCTCCCTCAAATACAGACCACTGTTAGAATTATTTGAAAATAAGGATCTGATCTTACATACTTTCCTAAATTTTTTCAACAGTTCCTCATAGTTATCAAATTAAAATCCAACATCTAACTGTAACCAACACTATTAACCTAGCCTTAGCACACCATCTTAGCCTCAGGGTTCTGCAGAGGCACATCTAGGGTTTCACAAACATTGTATCGTTTTTAATAAATTTTATTTTAAAACCAGTTTTAGATTTATAGAAAAATTGTGCAAGAGGTAGAAAGGGTTTCAGTGGACCCCCTCCCTTCTGCATATTGTTTCTTTCATTAACATCTACCATTCCTGTGATACATCTGTTATAATTTGTCGCAGCCGGCGCGACAATTCTAGAACAGGGGGTAAGAGAATGAGTTAAAAATGAGAGAAAAGTTAAAGGATGGGAACGGGAGGGACACTCAGAGCCATTGCAAAGCAGTGCCAATTTTATTATGATTATTCTCAAACTTATATACAAGTTTAACATGGGAAAAGTGCACAATTCATATGTCATACAATCAATCACAAGTTAATCAATATTGGGAAAAGTACATGCATACACAATTGGCATATTAAAATTTAAACTAACATTCCTGTTCCCATAATTCAAGTCACCACAACTCAGGTCACCATAACCTCTTAAATTCTATACTCATTCTTCTATATCCCCTAGAAACCTATGTTCCCTAGCAACTAGTTTAGATTGGCTTCCGCATATTCTGGGTTCAATCAAAGGTTATGCCTCTTTTGCACCTGCTGTTTCTCTGAACAACACAAGGAAGAAAATGGCTGATGGTATTCTAAGAGCAGGGCTCAACCTTCAGGGCCACTTAACAGCATCAACCCACAAGACTCAGGGCCCATCAGTCCTAGTCCTTATGGGCACACTAAAAGTATCAACCTATTTATGGGAGCCGTTGCTCAATT